ACCAACCTACCTTGGATTAAGAGAAACCTACATACCAAATTTCGTTGAGATAACTCAATTTTTTCTCGAGTTATCGTGTACACGGACGGACAGACAGACATGGCTTAATCGATTTCTTTTTTCATCCTGATCATTTATGTATACATTTGTCTATATCTATCTCGATTCGTTTTGGCTGTTACAAACAACCGTTATGTGAACAAAATTAATATACCCTTGTGCACAAGTGCGCTCGGGTATAAAAAATAATACATCAAATTAGCTCTGTAGCAAGCAGAGGTTGCTGTTTTAAGTAACCAGCCAATTGGTTGCTGTTTTGCGCAATGTTAGGGAGGTTAAAATCTATCCCAGACAGCCTAGTGGCAAACAGAACCCTAGACTTGCTTATGATGCGCTCGAAGCTAGTAGAGGAATGCTTCAATTATCTTTCGGTGGCATCGAAGTATTGCTTGAACAGGAAACTTCATGGCTGTCGACGTGGCCAGGTGCGACACCCTGGAGCCAGTATCACCATGAAAAGAGAGAATGTGTGTTCCCTTGACTACTTGTGGACTTTTCTGGGGAGGGTGGGACTCGTGTCAACTCAGCAACCGCTGGGCAAATACCAATGCATCTGCTACTGCGAAGTCTTCCTGGCCGAGGGTTCACCGGGGGCAGTCCGGGCTCTAGAGATCTTCTTAGACTCAAAAATCTACAACTCATAATTCTGGTGGGTGTATTGACAGAACACGTCTGGTTGGGGAGCCTCATTGTAGCACCTGCCTGGAGAACGACGAGATGAAACCATTTTAAGACTTCCTCTTAGACTACACAGCTTTTGCTAGACTGTAGGTTAGCCACTTGGGATCGTACATCCTAACCCGCCAGTATGACCTCTCGATAAATCAACGATTTTCGCTATAACTTAGCAGTTACCATTCGCATTGTTTAAGTGAGCCCATTGTTCCGGGACAACCACCCTAATCTAACCTAACCTCTGTATAAGTAATGAACCAACTATTAACGACTTGAGTCATTAGGTATACCTTTAAAATAATACATTTTTGTAAACATACTACGTTAGGAGGCTAGTGGCTTAATGGAACAACAACCGACAACTCAAATCTGTCTTTGCTTTTGACCAAAAATATGTGTATATTATATATTATATTATAAATTCGATAAAAAGTTTACTTTTAAATTATGAGTGATGTTCTTTAAAATCCAATACGACGGAAAATCTTTGACCGCAAAAATTTCTAAAATTCGAAATAGCGTTTCCAATATGACGGGAAAGACAAATTATTGAATTCGCTATATTGGATTCGCCATTTGGAATTTTAAAAAATCATGATTATGTTCGTAATTAGCGACGTTAAAAACACCCAGTCTTTAAAAGTAAAAATTTTTACCGAATTTACAAGATTACAACAGCTTTTTCTACCTGAACCAATTTTGAAGAGAGGGTTCTTCAGCTGACGAAGAATGCTTCATGCATGTCGATGTATTTGAGTTCTTTATAACCCTTTAAGATCGTATTTAAAAAATGTGGTGAAGAAAGTAGTAATTATATATCACGTCGAAATCCCCTCGAAGGGAATTTTCAATCGAGGGAGGGTTTAAAAATTGTATGTTTCGTATGGCGACCGGCCCAATTCAATACATAATAGTATACACATTTTTATGTGCAATTTAGATGTACTTACGTATGTTTTAATTATTTACTTTTTAATTTACACTTTTTCCTTACAGGTGCCTATAACCATCTATTATGAATCACTCTGCCCGGACAGCGCTAAGTTCATTACCGAGCAAGTCTATCCAGCCGTTAAGGGTGAACTGAAAGACTACATAGACATCACATGGGTGCCTTTTGGCAAGTCACACGTATGTATCACACTATTTTCACTTTCATGAAACGTACATACATACACACATAAATTTTTATGTATGTACATTGGGGCGGCCGAAATAAAGTAAAGCTGCCGAAAAATAATACATACATCGCTCAAAGTTTTCCATGTATTATATATGGTATGGAATTCTTGAAAAAATATTTTTCGATGGGAAAACTCTGGTTCTCTCCAGGAGACTTCCACTAATAATACCAAATTGTTTATTTAACCATTTTTTAATAATAACGATTTTTTATTGGTGCGCCCACTGCATTTTTTGTTGTTTTTGGCGGACGTATAAATTATAGTTACTATGAAAAAAATAGTTAAAAAAACAATTTTTCTATATGAAATATGTACATGGAAAATTAAAAAACAGGGAAATATTTTTTCGGTATATAACAATCCTAGGGGGAAGAGCATAAAAATTCCGAATTTACTTTTTCTCATGCAGTTTTGGACCACCTTAATGTTCATACATATATTAATTTGCATATGCGACTGATGTGTGTTTTTTATTTGTATGTTTATGCAGTTTACAACGCAAGGTGCTGATGTGCTCTTCGATTGTCATCACGGTCCAAATGAATGCTACGGCAACAAAGTGCATGCCTGTGCCATCGAACATATACAGGCCAACTCCTATCAAATTGAATTCACTAGAGAATCACTAACGTTGGACTTCATCAACTGCATGATGAAGGCGGGCAAGAACTTTGATGACAACGTTTATCCAGGTGGACGCTGGTAAGTGACCAACAGTATTTCACAGCGATGTGTTGTGATTACGGGTTTATGCCAAATTTGTACCATCGTTCATACATATATTCAAACATATTTAATGTACATTAGACCGCACCTCCTTACAATCAAACAAAAAATTCGCCTTACAGCTCTGAGTTTAAAATATTTTTGCAAGGCAATTTGGGGAAAAATCTACATATTTCGGTGGCACCTACATGTGGTAATAAAAAAATAGTTCTACTTATTTTTGGTGAGCTTTAATTTACTGTCATTAGGATGGTACATACTGCAATCTAAATTACCTTCGAATAAAAACACTTCCGTGGCAAAAGTTTGTGATTTTTAGACCCGACTGTAACGCCGAAGATGCGAAAAAAACTGTTAAAAGGTCACCTGTATGTTAAGCCAAAAAAAAAAAGTTTTCGAAACAGCCTTACTACAAAAACTACAGATTCGAAGGTCTACGACGAACTATTTTTTCTGGTATGGTCTCTTGTACATACATACATTCGTGCATGTTTTATGTTAATATGTTGTAATACTCTATGTATATGTATTTTTCTCCATTTACACCTTTGTTTAACGTCTGTTTTTCTCATGTTCTCACATTCAAGTGCACGTGACAATCATATTAGCGGCTGGGAAAATATTCAGACATGTGCCAACTCAACTGAAGGCAGCCATTTGCTGAAGAAACAGGGCGAGGCCACAAATCAATTCCAAAATCCATTGACCAGCGTGCCAACAATTGTTTTCAAACAGGCAAGTGTTATT